ACCCCGCGCTGGCCCCGCCTCCAGCTTTCCCCACCCCCTCCCTCCCCCGGTCTCTTAGGTGACGCTGCAGCCAAGATGGCGCTGGCGGCGGCAGCAGTGGCCTGAGCGTCATGCTCCGTGTTCTCGGCGACGGCTGTGGTCTCAGCCGGGGCCTCGAGTGTCTCCCGCGAGTGAGCACTCAGGTGCCTCTCCTCTGGCCCGGTTAGCCCCGACAGAGAAGAGGCCGTGAGGAACAGCGAGAGAGCGGCGCCTCCCTCCTCGGCACCATGGCCGGGATCATCAAGAAACAGATCCTGAAACACCTCTCCAGGTCAGTGAGCGCCTCGGACGTGGGTGCTCGTTGGCCTTTGCCCTCGCCGCCACTGGAGGTGGCGGGGACCGGCAGCATGCGGGGGCAGAGGTCGCGACACCGGGTCCCGGTGGCTTGCGCGCCCGGAGCTGGCCTCCTGAGTCGGCCCGGCGCGGCTGGCCCCCGGCCGGCCCCGTGGACAAGCGCCGGGGGCCACGGGGGAGCGGCGGTCTGGGGGCGTCCCCAACGCGGCGTCAGGGGGTGGAGGGAGGGGAAGGCCGGCCCTGAGCGGAGGCTGGATGTGACCTGCAATCGCCCAGGTGCCCACAGTGACTGTGATGGGGACGCGAACTAGGGCTCGGTGCGCGCCCGGTTCTCAGCACAGCGGTTCCGTTAACCCGGGGCGTCGGGCGTGCAGTGTGTGGACTCTTGGGGCTGAGGCTGTCTTCCCGGTGACACGTTAACCTTGAGATTGTTCTCATGTCCCTCAACCTGGCGTTCCCGCCCCGATGCATTGGAGGGTGCGCCTGTTTGCACAGTTAGGATTTGTTTTAGGTAAATAGCCAGAGAGTTCTCAGCCTTGGCAAGTTCTTCCTGGAGTCATTTGAATCCCACATCATTCTTACTAAAGAGTTGTTTGCTTTTTTTTTTTTTTTTTTTTGCATCCGAGACCCTTAAGTTCAGGGAGTTAACATCTGTGATGATTAAACTCAAACCGTGTCATTCTTTCCATTTCATAACACAGTTTTAGTCAGAAACATGACTCAGTAAACTGGCAGTTTGTTACTGCTCTTGGCTTCTCCACATTTGTTTCAAGACGCAGGCTAAACGTCGAGTCTTGTTCCAAGTTGATAGCAGGGAATTCAAAGCTCTTGTAAATCCCTTTACCTTCTCTGTTATTTGTAAGCTAATGATTACTTTTAACTGATTTTAGGAAGAGATTCCTCCAGTGTGATGACAGACTCGTCTAGTAAATATAATCTTTGAAGCTTGTTTTATATCACAAGTGATCTGTTGAACAAAAACAATGCTGTGATTCAGCAGTTATTTTCTTGACTTATAGAATAAGGTATATATATATGTATGTATTTATGAATAAGATGTATATATAAAGTAGCAAATTATAGCAATGCTTATGAATATACATTTTTTTTTCAGTACTAGGGTTTGAACTTAGGACTTTACACTTACTATGGAGGCACTATACCACTTGAGCCACATTTCCATGCTTGAATATACATTTCTTAATAATATCATTAATTGGAAAGTTTATTTTTGAGACAGGGTCACTCTCTGTAAGCCATCAATATGTAGCCCAGACTGGCCTGGAACTCTCAGTCCTCCTGCCTCAGCCTCCCCAGTGCTGCATTAGAGACCTGTGCCAGCTGGGAAGTTTCTTTTAAAATTGTACTTGTAGCTCAATACTGAGCAATCTTATTTTGGAAGGCGTTTTATCTCTATTTTTTATTTATTCGGTAAAATCTGACTCATGTCAGGTACCCTTTACTCTTTCTCATATCCAATTTAATGAGAAGATTCAGACATACAAAATGATTTGAATGCCCATTTTTGTCATTTCTGCAAAGATGATGGGGCACAGTTAATACTACAAGAAAATTTAATTCAATCAATAAGTGCTTTGGGGCATTACTGTTTAAATTTTTCTTGTAGAAGTCCATTTGGGAAGGACTCTTAAAAATTAAGAACAAAAGTGTACTGGCTTACTTCATCAGATAGACAACATTCACTTATTCAGAATTAAGTCTTTAGGATTACTTTTTAATCTGTGTGGTTTCTTATTGCTGTGTGGTAAATAGAAGTGAGGACTTTTTTTGTTAGAGTGGTTACTGGTCATCAAATTCGGGGCCTGGACCACGCTAGACAAAAGCTCTACCATGTCCCAGTCCTGTATTCTGTTTTTGAGATTGGGGTCTCACCCAGCTGGCCTTGAACTCAAGATCTTCCTGCCTCTGCTTCCTGAGTAGCTTGGATCACAGGTATTTACCACCACACCCACTTCAAAATACCCTTAGGTGACTAAGGATACTACAGGGTACTTTAGTATTAAAGAGTATCAAATTTGTGTTTTTGGTTAGTGTATTGATCTTAGTGCTATTGCTGTCACCTTCCTAAGAAAATGGCTATTCATAAATAACCATTTGTGGTTATTTCTACAATGAAACAAGGCAGATGTGATAAATTACAGTTGCTTCAATACAAATGAACTTTTGAAATTATTTGGGTCAGGTTGACTTGTATAGATTATCCAGTGTCATGAAGATGTCTTTCTATTGATCTAGTGGTCTGAAGTACAGTTTAATATAACTTAACAGGAAATACTCAAGCACATTTCTTTCATTTTTAAAAAATTGTTAGCACAAAGGGGTTTCATTGTAATATTTACATATGTGCATATAATGTACTTTAATGAAATTTACCGCATCCACATTACTTTTTCTTAATTTCTTTCTCCTTTTTGACAGTTTTTAGCAAGTTTCATTATTATATAGCTTATGTAGCTTGTTTATGCACCCCCATGGCACTTTTTCTTTTCTTTCTTTTTTTTTTTTTTGGGTAGTGCTGGGGTTTGAACTCAGGGCCTCACGCTTGCTAGGTAGGTGCTCTACCACGTGAGCCACTCTGCCAGCCCTGTTTTGAGTTGGTTTTTTTTGAGATAGGATAGGGTTTCACCAGCTATTTGCCCAGACTATTTTTGAACCACGATCCTCCTGATCTCTTCCTCCCAAGTAGCTAGGATTACAGGCATGAGCCTCCAGCGCCTAGTGACCCGTGGCACTTTTTCAAAGGAGGCTATTCCAGATCACACAGTTTAAAATTGTGAGTTCCCATTTCTCCTGTTCCTTTATTTTTCTCCTTAGCACTCATATTCATCTGTCATAATACATATTTATTTGCCACTCTCCACTTGAATGAATGTAACCGCCATGAAGGCAGAAATTTTTCTCTTGAGGTTGGCATAAAAGTAGGCATTCAATAACATTTGTTGGATCACTAAATAATATGGTACCCTTGGTATCCAGAAAGGAAGACTAGGAAAATAATCTAGCTCTTATGTTGGAAGTTTTCCAGTAAGGAAGAAGACTGTAGGAACCAGTAGGAAAAAAAAAGAATATTCACTCTGAACCTTAAGATTGAAGTATAGTGAAACCTCAAGATTAAAACTAGCCTTGTTGGATATGAAGACTTGAAAAGCTGGTGTAATGGAAAAATATGAATGAGGAATTTCTGTTCTCAGGAGATTAACAGTGCTGAACTATTTGAGAAGTTTAAATCTGTGCGTATGTTCCTTGCCTAATTATTGTTCAGTTTGCGTTCCAAGAATCTCTTGTTAATGAAATGAAAAGTTTATGTACTTGACTACTCTGACTGGAGGACAGAGTGTGGTGACAGGGAGAGAAAGTTAGAGGAGTTATGTTGTGAAAGAGAAGTGAAACAGGAAAAGCCTTTAAAGGAGAAATTACCCAGATCCTTCAAACTAGAGCAGCACTAGGTATGTGTTGAAGGTGTTTACAGGAGAATCTTTTTTTTCACAAGGGAATAGAAAGTTCTAAAAAAAAAAATAATAATATTAACAAATGTAAGAAAGGAAATGAGAGCAGGAGCTACCTTTCAGCTGAAGACCTTATTATCTGGTTTCTCTGTGTGCATATGTCTCCACATGTACACTCGTGAACAGGTACACTTGCAGAGATGATAAATTTAATTAAGCCAGGACCTGAAAAGGGGTAGGGAATGTTCACTCCCTTAGCCTCAGGTCATAATATGATATACACAGGTTTCCTGGGGATTGGGCGTTGACCAGGCTGGTTTACAATCACAACAGGGTAGAATCTTTGGTTTAAAGCAGTGGTCATCAAGAGCACTTTTCCTCTTCAGGGGACATTTGGCAATGTTCAGAGACATTTTTGATTGTTATCACACTTTGGGGGGAGGAGGTAGTATTACTGTATACATCCTGTAAAGCACAGCACAGTCCCCTAAAATAAAAATAAAAGTATTTGACTTTGAGGTTGAGAAACTGATTTAAAGTATACAGATGTGAATCAAATGATTGAGGTAGGGCACTTTGCTAGTTAAGGTTGTTTTGTTTGCGAACAATAGAACCCTCTATTTAAGTAAAAAGCGAAATGCAATAGGAAGTTATAGAGTGGGTCACAGAATCAGGAATATCTGAACAGCAAATTTAAGAGAAGGACAGGATCCAGGCAGCTCTTTAAATCTCATTAGAAGAGTTTCTGTATACTCCTCTCAGAGCAGGGTTTCTCAACCTCAGTACTATTTATATCTTGGGCGAGATAATTCTGTGAATTGTAGGATTTTTCATGCTTCCAGACATTACCAGATGTGCCCAGAGGGACAAAACTACTCAGGGTAGAGAACCACAACTTTAGGGTGCTGACCCAAGTCTCACAATGGTAAGGCTCTGATCTTTCCTGTCAAGTTTCGAATTCCTGAGAGAATCTGCTTGGTTCAGTTGTAGTTACCCATGGATCAATTAGCAATGGCAAAGATACCATTATGGGGAGAATTATTTTGAGTCAAAGTTGCTGTTCCACTCAATGTCAGTAATAAGCACTGAACTAAATTAGATTTCCACAGGCCTCATTTGCTATGTTAAAGAAATTGAATTTTATTCCTAGAGTCTGATTTTTGAAGTCTAGGGTTTAGGAGCACTATCTGGAGTAGAAATTTAGTCTACAAATACTTTTGGAAAGCTACTGATGCCCTGCAGAACTTACCTGTTACTGTGTGGTTGGAGAACCAGACTTGAAAAGAGACTGGATTCAAGGATACAAGAAGGAGAAATTACTTGAAGCTCTCAACGTGACTTGTTCCAGAAACTCAGGTGAAGGGACAATTAGAAAGAGTGAGTGACCTGAGAAGATTGTAAAATGTTCGAAATATTCATTATGGAGATTGGAATTTTGTGCCAGAATGGTAAAGTGACTGGACATTGACAATATTCAATTTTACATCATTCCCAATGTGTATTTTGACAA